GAAAAGTCAATTTCTATATCTAAAATCGCTGTGTTATGCTGAAAATCTAATCTACAAATTTTTAAATAATTTTATTGTATTGAACCGTTTGCGCACTGGGAAAAGTTGTGTTAAAAAAATCATTACAACTGTAATAAAAATTATTATATTGTATAGGCAAGCTGATATATATATATCTTTATTGCTTGTGCATGAGAGCTACATTGCGTCTTAGTAGTACTAAGTATGCTCTATCTCTCTCACTCACTTTACTGACACAGATGAAAAAAACTGATACAAATGAAAAAAATTATTGACTTAAGGTAACCATGCCACTCCGTGCATTCTCGTAACCACGTAGACTTACCATCCAGCCACAAGTTAATGCTAGCACTAGTGACTACTAAGACACGTGTCTTTGTGCACGGAGCTTTTAAGTACGTTACTGATATTATATATCCAGTGTTTTGGCAATTAAAGAGGATCTTCGCATACCCCCGCTGCTATCAGAACTTTCAGTTGAAAAAGTTCCGAAGCTAATCAGAGCAGAGCTACAGCAGGAGTGTAGGGGAAGACTTATTTCGCCTGTGAATTATAACGCAAGCGCCTATCTCAACGCAACCCGGAGCGCTTACTGGCTGTTTTAATTATTTGTGATTAATCAAATAATAACGCAAGCGCCTATCCCCAAATGACCTGGGGCGCTTACTGGCTGATTTAATTATTTATAAAAATTTACATACGTATATTTTCTCAACAGACAAACATCATTGCAAGTATAGCAAACTTATGATAAAATTCGTGTATATAATGTACAATGTCGTTCCCCTTCAGAAAAATTCACAGCCGTATGGAACCAAGTGAGGCACGCTGTAATAATAATCATAATGTCATGATTCTTTATTCTTCGAATGGTTTTTCCTTTGCTCCTGAAAAACGTAAAACAACTAAGGGACAAACTTACATTCTTGAAATAGAAAAATGTTTCATTTGGGGCAAAAAAATCTCGCAGAACCTCGACTATACGTCCATAAATGCCACTTTTTTTTCACTCACACATATTCGACCATCGTATATATATAATATATATATATATATATTCATCTTACAGATATAAATCTATGTTTATGCCTACTTAATAAATCCTAAGTAACTAGAAAAGGCAATAATTTAAAAGTTCTGTACAAATTTGAAAAATCTCTCAAGGCGGCACTCGTTTTTGCTCGACTACACAAACGAGACTCGCTGTGGTTGTTGCAAATATGTAATGTCGACGAATGGACCAAAAAGTACAGATTCAAGACATTATAAAAAAAAAAAAAAACGATAAATCAACACACACACATCCGGAATGGCTATAGATCTCCCAATGCGATCTTTCGTGTTTAGTAATGAATAAAAAAAAAAAAAAAAAAAAAAAACAACACTTGGCCACCGTATACATATAGATACAGGTATTCGTTATAGGTCCCATATATATAGATAGACATTAGCTGTGCATTTGAGAGCACGGACCTCGCAGAAGCGCCT